TTCCTCTCAGGACTCCCTGGAAACGTGGGTAGCAAGGGAAGAGGCCCCAAGCAGCTGCTGACATAATCAGCTGTGGGTGCACGCCCCTCACTGTCACGTGGCTTAAGCTTTCCTTAACAATGGGGGAGGGGGGACGAAGGGGGAGGGCTCTGTGGGAAAGCTGGGATACAGGAGTGTTATAAATTAACCCAGAACAACCGAAAAAAGGAAAACACAGAAAACGAGAGATTGAGAAGCCTGGCTTCGCAGTCTCCTCACCCTGAAAATGACCATCCCCCCAAACTCATACTGTGGCCCCCGTCCTTGTTTCATTTTCTTTTCCAGAAAAGACACGTCTTTTCTGGAGACATGTTTTTTCTCCCTCCTCATCTCTCCTCAGGGATTTAGGTGTGATCGCCCCGACCCAGGCAATCCTTGCTCTCCCACCTTCTTCTCCATATCCGTCTTTTGCATAGACAAAAGGGTCCAGGTTCCAGCAGCCCCACTTGCTCCCAAAGCCCTGGCTGTCCCGCCTCACCATCCCCACAGTAACCAGGCGCTGCTGCCGTCAATGGAAGAGAGGGGGCGGGAGACAGCGGTGACGTCAAAGCGGAAGAAGGAGGCGGAGCGAGGCACCCGGGGAATGTGGGGCAGGGAGGTTGGAAAGGCTGGAGAGGCAGCGGTTTGGGAGGCGGCCAGCCCGAGAGGGCGGCGGCCAGCGCACTTGGGAACATCGTGTTCTCTTGGCTGGTGGCCCAGGACATGCACCCAGCCCAGGCGCCTCCCCCAACCCAATGCCAGAGATTCCTGGAGAGAGGATTAGGAGGAAGGGGTCCTCCTCCCCCACCCCACGCCTGGCTTTCTTTTCAGGACTCTCATCTGTGGGCCCCTCAGCTTATTCTTACAGCTCCTGGCACTGGCTTTTCCCCTCTCCCAAACTATACTGGTACCAGCTGGCCTGGTACCAAAAAGCCAGGGCGGGGAAATTGGAGGCCTAGGCTGTGGGAAAGAACACGCACCTTTGCTCCCTCCTAGAGGCCCCCTTCAGAGCCTGAATCTCTTGTTACTATGGCAGCAGAGAGAGAGGGAGGAGGGGTAGGAAGAAGAATAGGTCTAGGATGAGGAAATCAAACTGAGACAGATCAAGTGGCCCAGTCTGGGTCCTGGATCCTGGGAGAGAGAAGGGAGGAATGAAAGAATTTGGATTGGAAACCGAAGACCAGAAGAACCAGGAAGAGATAAATGGGGCGGGGGGGTGGTCACCAAAATTTGCAGAAAAACATGAGAATGTGAGAATAGTTCCCAGCCACAGCATTCACACAAATCTCTCACCATGACACAGACATTGTGTTAAGGTCTTTACATACAGTATCTTATTTAATCCCCAGAACAACCCTGTGAGATGAGTATTAGTATCCTCAGTCCATGGGGGACGACTAAACTAAGACTTAGAAATTACTAACCTTGCCTAAACTGTTTGCCTCATAACATGCTCTCAGTTTCTTAGCAAATGGAGCCCTGGGTTCAAATCTGACCTCTAGTAATGGCTTTTCATTCTGCCTTTTTTCCCTTCAGGAACCTGTGAGGTATTACCTGGCCTCTAAGCTGCAGCCCAGCACTGGCAAACGCGGGCCTCTCAAATATTCAGCCGATTCTAAGTCTGGTGCTGGGAACACAGACTCCATCCAACTCCTCCTCCCCTTGGGCCCAATTTCAAGACATTCTATTTGTACTCCCCACATACTGCTCATCATAGCCGGTTTTCCCATGCTCACAAAGTCCTTGAGATCACTTTAGCAAACACAAGCCCCAGTGGTTTCCTAGTGACCCCACTTCCTCACCTTTCCACCTCACCCTAGGTCACTTTACCACAGGCTTGTTGTTTGTACAGACACCATAGCACCCTGTTGGTGTCTCCCCACCTCCGGGCTCAGGAAGACACATACATATCCGAACTGCACAGCCCTACTACCCTGCCTCTATTTTCACGGATAGCTCCGAGGCCCAAACCCTCTCCTTTACACATGAGAAAGACACCCAGAGATGTGACTGGCTCCAGGTCTCAAAAATCTCATCACACCACTCTTTCTCAAATCAGCATGCCGACCCTCCAGTACCCTCCCACCTGCCCTACCAGGCATCCCTTTAGCCTCAAAACATCTGCCTCTTTCAAGTGCTTAAGGCGCCTACACAAACAGCAACTATGCATTGAAACATCGCCTCCCCCAGGCAGTCAGGTGTCCAGGTACCTTAGTGCGGTGAGGAATCTGCTGTCAGAAACTCCCACCTATCCCTCTAGAGTGTCTGAGTTCGCCGTCCCTGTTCTGCACAACCATCAGCGCTCCCACTGTGGCGATCACGCATTTGCTCCATTAACACCCCTCCTGACCGAATACATCATCCCAGAAAAGCCCAGATCGACCGCCCCTCTTCGCTCCCGATCCCCGGGCACTCACTGCTCGGCGATCACGCAGAGTCCAAATTTCTTCTCTACTGGGACTACAGACTACACCGGCTCCTCCAAACCCGCCCACAGGCCGGGCCGCCACGCCCCCCAAGCTTATTGGCTTAGGGGCACCGACCCATGCCCCGCGCCGCGTGCAGCGGCGGGGCCCCAGCACAGACTCCATTGGCACCTCCGGCCGCCGTCATCTTCTTATTGGTCGGCATGCCAACCAGCAGAGATAGAAACACGTGCGGGCGGGGATGCTCCAGGGCGGTGATTGGAAGCCTGATAGGAAGCCACGCCCCCACATACTTCTGAATCCTTATTGGCTGTGGAATTAACCCGACCCGCCTAGATCTGTGACGCAAATAGCAGTCCTGCCCTCCGGAGTTTCTCATAGGCTGAGAAATCTTGGAGCTGTAAGGGACACGTGCCGGCGGACTCACGCGGCAACTTGTTTACCCAGAAGCTGGGGATTTTCCTTGACGACACCCATGCTCCGTACAGAGAAGTCTGCGCAAGCGCACGGAGCGTGACCTGCACGCAGGCGCAGATATGAGCGGCGATGGCGTAGGTGGGGGCACTTTGTGCAGAGACCCGGGCGTGACAAGAGCGCCTCCGGCGATGGGGCTCCTCGCCCTGGATCCCTGAGGCTAGAACTAGGTTGAAGGCGCCTTCAGATCTCAGCATGGCATCATGATGACGACGATGAAGATGACAGCCGCTTCCTGATTGTTTTGTGAGTCAGGCCACGCACGCCACAAAAAAATCCAAGGAAGTGGGTTCCCTTACTACCTACCGCCTCACAAATAAGACTGGGATCCAGAGAAGTTACGTTATCTGTCCGAGTTAATACACTAGTCAGTAATGGAATTGACATTTGAACCCAGGTCCCTGACGTTAAAAAAGGCGGGTCCGCAGGGCTCGGTGGCTCAGCCTGTAATCCCGCGCCTTGGGAGGCTGAGGTGAGTGGATTGCCTGAGCCCGCGGGTTCGAG